AGGTCTAGTGAGAAACCACAACACAGGCCTGAGGCTGGGGTGTAGGGAAATACTTTCTCAGCACCTTGGTCTAGGACTCTGAAAAAGGCAAACTTCTCCCCTTCAGATACGTCAGACTTAATAAACTGGAGGCTGATGACTTACATTCAGAATAACTCTTCTGAGCTATGAATTTTGGAGCAAGAACAGTCATTAAATATTGCCAACTTCAGGGACAACAAGCACAGGGTTGTGTCTCACAATACCCACTGCTAAGGGATGGGGTTTTGGCCTTTGTCAGGGTGGTTGTCATTTAATCTCTGCTTCCTTGGCCAATGCTCACACCTTATGTTTTTCCAGACAGATGTGCGTTTGCAATTCAGGAATTACCCCAAGCTATAACTTTCATATAGGATACTACAAATGCTGAAGAGGCATGCTTAGGCAAGATATAATATTTTTCCTTTTTTAGGGTACAGATGGACCCTAAGCACACTGTGGGGCCATTTCCAGCAGATCTAGCTAGACATAGAATAGACATAACCTCTGTATATAAGAATAGCTTTTGAATTGGTGAATATCCTAACTGTCAACATAGAGCCTTTATCCAGTAATTGATGGAAGCAGATGTAGAGATCCAGCCCCAGGCTAAGCTCCAGGAGTCCAATCAAAGAGAGAGAAGAGGGATTCTATGAGCAAGGGACAACAAGATCATGATGAGAAAACCTACAGAGACAACCCAAACCATGCTAGTGGGAACTCATGAACTTTAGACCAACAGCTATGGAGCCTCCATGGGACTGGACTAGGCCCTCTGCATAAGCAAAACAGTTGTGTAGCTTGATCTACTTAAGGGGTCCCCTGGCAGTAGGATCAGGATCCATCCCAGGTGCAGTCCACTACCTATGGTGGGACACATTGCACAGACTTGATGCAGGGGAACAAGCTTGGACCTGTTTCAACTGAATGTACCAGGCTCTTCTGACTCCCCATGGGAGGCCTTACCTTGTTAGAGGAGGGAATGGGGGTTGGGTTGTAGGGGGAAGACGGAGAGGGGGTGCGGGATGAGGGAAGAGAGTGGGATCTGTGGTTGGCATGTAAAATGAATAAACTTTTTTTTTTTTTTGGTTTTTCAAGAGGGATTCTCTGTGTAGCTTTGCACCTTTCCTAGATCTCGCTCTGTAGACCAGGCTGGCCTTGAACTCACAAAGATCCACTTGCCTCTGCCTCCCGAGTGCTGGGATTAAAGGTGTGTGCCACTACCTCCCAGCTGTGAATAAAACATTTTTAAATAAAAACATGAATAAATAAAAAAAAGAAAATGCTTCAAAAAGGGGGAGGGGGGAGAAAGAATAGCATTTGAGCTAACTTTATTTAGAATTATTCAAGAATTTAGTGTATGTCTAAGAGGGGCTACATTTGAATAAAGTTCACCAGTTATTAATTGACTTAATTAACTGGTTACAAACAATGAATCTGGCCATTCCCTAAGGCAGTGGTGCTACCTGAAGGGGAAAATTGAAAACAAAAAGCACCCACCCTAGTAAGAGTGCCTGTATTTTTGACTATGTCAAAGTGTTTTGACAGGCTGATCTTGGTTTATAGAATACATATGGTGAGATTATTCAATGCAAAAAAGACAAGAGTTCTCCAGAGTTTTAATCCTGAAAACAGACAACTTTACAACTTTATTTACTCAAGGACTCAAGTTAAAAACAAATAAGCAATTAAACAACAACAACAAAAGCATGCTAAAGAAACCAAGAAAACAAAGTGACAGTTTGGAAGAAAATGGGGGCGTTCATGACTTTTCTAGGTTACCAGGTTCAAGTCTAAACTTCCAGTTCCATAGCTGAAGGAAACAGAGACAAACTGGCTGGCTGTGGTTTTCTATTTTCTCTTCCTAGTAAAAACCTCTCTGCATAATTAAAAACCATACACATCTCTGCCTGGTTCACTCAGTGTAACCCTAGAGGTCAGTCAAGCAGGTGTCTATGCTCTGAACTGAAAATGGAGGGGAGTCACTCTAAGAATGAGACACAGCTCTGCCTATAATTCACCTGTGAAACAGATGAGGCTGGTGCTTTAAGGGTATCTGACACGGTCCATGGCTTGTTCCTTATTTTCTGTGGTGACACTAAGGAAAGTTTAGAGGCTTTCTGCAGGGATGCCACCTTGATGCTGTTAGACTGTAAGTCATTCCTGGCTAATGCAACACTTAATAGAGTTATTCTACCCCATTAATTGCTGTTATAGGGATATGAATGTAGACATGCAGTGGAAGCAAATTAAATGACTGTTTCTTTCAGTAAGAATTGCAAACTACTTTTTCCTGTTCAGAAACTTCACTAATAATTTTTCTACTCTAAAACTATATATGGCGAAGAACAACTATAGAGAATGTTTTTCTTGGATAACACTGAAAACATGCACTGAAGGGGCTATTTTACTACAAACAATACATTTTTTCAATTTCCCATACTAATAGTATATAAAGTAAGCACAATATTTGATTCTTTCTTTTAAAAAATTATGGGCAGCCCTTAGGAGTGAATCCAGTCTCTGGGTTGTGTACATGCTAGGCAAACACTGTATTGTTTGAACTTCTCAGACTTGGGTTTTTTTTTTTTTTTTTTTTTTTTTTGGTTTTTCGAGACAGGGTTTCTCTGTGTAGCTTTGCGCCTTTCCTGGGACTCACTTGGTAGCCCAGGCTGGCCTCGAACTCACAGAGATCCGCCTGGCTCTGCCTCCCGAGTGCTGGGATTAAAGGCGTGCGCCACCACCGCCCGGCTCAGACTTGGGTTTTGAGACAAGGATCTTGCTGTGTAACTCAGTCTGGCATAGAGCTGTTTTTTCTTTTTTGTCTATTTAGTCTTATCCTTGAATAATGAAGCATCTTTCTCAACCTAGAATTTTTATTTTCATAGGTTGTCTATTCTACGCAGGGAAATCTCAAATTGGGACCACAGAACATAATTGTTACATATATCCTTACCATTAATCTTTATGAAGTGGATATTATGGTCACTATGGATCTACAATTGAATCTAACGTGCTCATGAGAAAGTACATGCAATATTACACCAAAGGTAGCTATTTCAATGTGTGTATGGTAACTACATTGATATTCTTGGCAATCTTATGTATATAATTTTATGCACACCATTTTTGTAGTTACCAGTCTGTCAGATCAGTCTATGTCATGAAAAGATAAGTTTACATCCATTGGTTAGAATCTGTACCCAAAAGATAATGTAGGGTAAAAACTGAGAGTTGAGTATGGATTCAATGATTTGTAATAATGCCAATTTAGGAAGACTTTAAATTAGATAGCAGCTTCTGCAATCATAGGAGAAAGGAAAAAAAGTATTCTCACATGTCAGAAATTGTTGTGGTATATACATAAGGAATCATCATAAAGGCCAAGACAAGTCATCAAAGGTTATAGAGAAAAGCCCCTGGATAAACCTGGAACATGAAGACTTGAGACACAGAAGCCACATTGCTGAATGAAAAATAGAACTAGCTGGGTGGCTGTGGAACACGCCTTTAGTCCCAGCACTTGGGAGGCAGAGCCTGGTAGATCTCTGTGTGTTCGAAGCCATCTTGGTCTACAGAGCAAGATCCAGGACAGGCAACAAAACAACATGGAGAAACCTGTCTTGAAAAAAGAAAAAACAGAGAAGAGAAAAGAAAAATAGAACTAAACTAAACAAAACAAAATCTACTGGAAGAGAAACTCTTCGGGCTATTAGGAGCATAGGGAGCAATAGAGGAGATAAAGAATGGAATGCATGCAGAATGGCCAGAGGCAGAGACTTGGAAGGAAGGCAATGGAATACTAGAGTAAGGCAATGTAGGAGAATTTTTCTGTAGATAGGAAAGCTAAATTGTACACAATCTGCATCCTTCCTCCCTCAGTCTTCAATTCTCTCACCTTACAGTTATATCACCTTTGTGGCTTTGTTCCCTCATTTAAATAAAAGGTGGGTAATGATAATTATATTACCAGATGCAGATTAAATAGAATGGTGTAGAGACTATGCTTCATGAACATGGATGCAATTAAACACATCCAACATATAACAGCTAACAAGCAATCCCAAGACATGAGTAGAAATCAAGGGCACTAACGATCAGAACCTTTGGCTATAACAAAGACTGAATATTCCCAAATGTTTCTCAAGGCCAATGATGTGTCAATTAACTCATTCCTCAGTTGGGTCACAAGGCCTACTTTAAAGTAATTTTAGTTCCATATTACAGATGAGAAATGTCTATATGAAAATAAGCAAGAAAAGAGCCCAGAGCAGAATTCCCAAAGGAGCCAAGGTCCACAGAGTGTTGGTCAGAGGACTCTAGACACACAGAAGGTGAATTTGCATCCCTCTTCTCTATGGTGTTACTCCCTGGTGTATTTTGGAATTGAGTCTTTGTTCCCATTGTCAGTCCTTTGCTACTGTATTCATCTGATAGATGCAACCATATAGGATTCTTATCCACTTGGGACAACACGTATCTAGAAGATGTAATTTTAACCCACATCTCCCAAGAGAAGAACTAGATGTAAATCTGTGTCCACAGCACAAACTCCTTTTTTCTTGAGTTTGTTCTTATCATTGTAACCATTCTTTGCCTAAGGTTAAAGTTACTTTAGACTTAAAGTTTTTCCTATAGTGGATTAAGCTCTTCTCTCTGTGCATTTGTTGGAAAATGTGATGAGAGAGATGAGTATTATCTTAGAAGTTTACATGTGAAGGGAGGGGAATGAAAAGACAATAAGTTACAAAAAAGTTTTTGTTGAAGGAGGAGCCAAAAAGAAAGAATGCCCCATATCTAAAATGTATTATCATAAACTCAGTGTACAGTTATTGCTGACCCTCCCATGACCTGGCTCCACCCATGAGGACCACAGGTCAGGCTGACCAATAGCTTCAAAGAATCGTGCAGAACAAAGGGCTAGAACATAGTCCGTGAAGAATAAAAGGCCATCACTTTTAGCAGCAGCATGTATCTGCTTCTGGCACTCCTGTGATCAGCAGCAAGCTCCTAGACCTGACATCATGGTGAACTTCACTGCTGAGGAAAAGGGTCTCGTCAATGGCCTGTGGAGTAAGGTGAATGTGGAAGATATTGGTGGTGAAGCCTTGGGAAGGTAAGAATTGGTTGTTGATTCATCTGGGAGGAGGGTGAATAGTACTTTGGACAATTAGCCAGGAAAGTAAAGAATTCTGAGGATCCCCGATTTTCCACTTTCTTCTCATATTTCATAGGCTTCTCGTTGTGTACCCATGGACCCAGAGATTCTTTGACAGCTTCGGGAACTTGTCCTCTGCCTCTGCCATAATGGGCAACCCAAGGGTCAAAGCCCATGGCAAGAAGGTACTGACTTCTCTTGGAGAAGCCATTAAGAACCTAGACAACCTCAAGTCTGCCTTGGCTAAGCTCAGTGAGCTGCACTGTGACAAGCTACATGTGGATCCTGAGAACTTCAAGGTGAGTTCAGGGCAAGCTCACAAATTTATTTTGCATTTGTTTTGGTGACAAAAATGGAAGCTGAGTATATGAGTGGTGGTGATGCCAACACAGATCTCAAAATTCAGTGGTCTAGGCAGGAAAACAGTGAATTGCTGTAAGAAGCCTAAATTAGTTTACAGGCATTTGGAAAATTTTGTCATGATAGAATTTTGGTGTACGTATCATGGAGAGTTATGGAAAAGAACTGCAGATCTGTGCAAAAAGAAATGGAATCTGGAGAGGAAAAACAGCTTAACTTCTGTAGGTCCTAATGATTGATGTTGAAGAAAAGATTTGGGATACATTTTAAAGATGGAATTTTTCTTTATGAAAGATGGAATCTTTCTCATTTAAAGATGCTAATTTTTAATCAACATTATTAAAATGTGTTAAATTCCCAAGTGAATATCGTGACAAGTGGAGACTTGTTCCTACATTGATGGTAGTTTTAAAACTCCCCCAAGAGCACTTGTAGGACAGAAATTCTGTATTTACAGATATTAGACAATTAGTGAATGGGAAAAGTAACAAGAAAGGCAAATAAATATAATGGGAAGAGGAGAAAGTGTGAGAATTCAGACAGAGCAGTGGTGAGTGGGAAGATAGAGATACAATAGAAAATTGAACCTATGCTCATCAGAGATGACTAAATTGGGAGTTTGATGCTGAATGTGTTAGTGTATAGGCTCAAAACATTTCTTTGCTTTTCATGCATATTCTTTTCTGAACCTGTATTTAACACATCAATCTGTTTGTTTTATCTTTTCTCAAACAGCTCTTGGGCAATGTGTTGGTGATTGTTTTGGCTGGTCACTTCGGCAAGGAATTCACGCCTGAGATGCAGGCTGCCTGGCAGAAGGTGGTGGCTGGGGTGGCCAACGCTCTGTCCCACAAGTACCACTGATCCCTCTACCTGTCCAGCAATCCTGTGTGTCCCCTACTATATCTTTCTGCACATGAGAAATGGACTGATCCTTGAGAACACAGATTGTTTAATAAAGATCATTCATCCCAGTAATCAAAAAGTCATTTTTGTCTTGTCCATTTTTTACTTCAGTGCTAAAGAAAAATGTTTGATGGGTTTGTGGGAGAGGGGAATACAGGAAGACACCCGAGTTTCTCTGAAAACTGGAAGGACTCAAGAGAGGAGAGTAGATGCCATTGAAGGCTTCTACTGGCCCAGGGAGAGCCTATAGCTGGGAAAGAATTCTCAAAGAGGAGAAGGAATTGTGTGTGGAACATATAGAAACTTACTGTAGAGGGTGAAGAAAAGGATAAGTATCTAATGGCAGGTTGTGACATATCCCATTTCGATTAAGAAAAAGCTTTAGAGATCCAAGATCTAAGATAGGATTATTATTTTAAATTACTTAATGTACTTTTTTTCCTAAAGGGATTTATTGGATAACCAATTAGTATGCTCTTGCCTGAGGAAGACTATTTCCCCAGCTTTCAGCATTCTTTAGTTGCCTGTAATTCTTTGTGTGTGGTTGAAATCTCATTGACTTTCTCCTATCGATGTTAGTGTGTCCCACAAGAAACTCCTTGATCCTCTGGCTCTTACAATCTTTTGTTCCTCTTTTGCAGTATTCCATGAGCCTTAGGTGTGGGAGTGTTTTGTAAATGTATTCACTGGAACTGGGTTCCACAACTCTGCATTTTGATTGGTGGTGGATTTCTGTAGTGCTCTCCATCTATTGCAATGAGAAGCTCCCTGAATGAGGGGTGAAGATTACACTTACATATACGTGTATGCAATAACAATTAAAGACAAAAGAAGACATAAATTTGAAAGAGAGAAAGGAAAGTATATAGAAGAGTTTGGATAGAGGAAAGAGAAGTGAGATATGTTGTAACTATATCACAATTTCCAAAATGTTTTTTAAAAAGATTTATTATTTTAAGTTTATGAGTCTGTGTGTATGTCCTCAAAATTTGTGTTTGTGTGTGTGTGTGTGTGAAAGGAGATGCTCCTGAGAGCCAGAACTATTGTTATCCACTAGAACTGGGATTCAGGTGGTAATTTGGCTATGTTGGTAGATCTGTATATATTATTATCCTCTCACAAATGTCTTATGTTAAAGATAACATAGTTGGTTCTCTCTCAGACTGTATGTTCTCTACTGACACATCAATACAAATTCCTTATACCACTATATAGGAAGAGCAAAAACTATGAAAGCTGTAGCAGGAAGGCACTCTTAGGGATGAAGTTCCTAATGTGGGATTCTGTCCTAGCAGAGGCAGTACATGTGGACTGTTACTGGATGGAAATATCCCGATACATCAGAGTTATTTTGTGAACACACAAAAAGTGAAGACAGAGCCTGGTTGAACAACCTGAAAGGTCAATCACTCAGCATTCTCAGTACTCAACCTGCCACGAGCACAGAGAAGGCTGAACACAAAACCTGCATCACCAGGCAGCTACACTCTTCCAGTGGGAATGCCAACTGCATGGTGACTACACAGTCCACTCACAGGGTGGAACAGGCTGTCATCTACACACAGCAGATTGCTCTACTTCAAAGTGAAATGGAGGCAAATGTAGAGACATGCTCTACTACACCACAGTAAT